CAATGAGAGTCACAGTGCATAAGAAAAGATAAGATAAGAAAACCTTTATTAGTCTCGCAATGGAGAAATTCCCAATTCACAGCAGCAAAGTTATAATCTGTGTCAGATCCAAATCATGTTTATTCAGATTTAATGGGTAACAGGACATGTAACCTTTTTGTGATACAGTGTCAAAATGCTGCAACACTTACATTTGTACATGACGATCATTAGACAGACACTCGCATAAGACTGAATGTTTCGGTATAATCTAAGGATTCAACGTAATCAGCTATGAATCTCGCTAACCAGCAGATGTCACCGGTGTGGTCTATTTTATAAAGCTTTGAGTCATGGACTTTTTTTTTCAAATCTATATGACAAGGATTAATTCAGTTAATCTGTACCACTAGTAATAACATGGAAATTGAAAAAATAAAGGAAACAAAGGCAAAAGATTGCTGACCTTTCCATACGGTTCGCGCGTAAGTCGCCATCTTGGCGAAAACCGGAACAAGTCCGGGTGAAACATGGTCACGCGAGATTGTTCCGTCCGGGAGCTGACGCTGAACTTCCTTACCAGATTTTTTTTTTTGGAATAAATCTTTATTCCTTTCCAGATTGACCTGGTAGCAATACACTCATCTATCGTCAGCGTGATCCTTATGAACACTTTATAGAGTTCATTATTTTCAACCGTCGTTAATCGTTGCTCATATGAATGCAAGACTGATTCTTTAGTTCTGACACTTCCGTCAAAACTCCGCTGCTGTCTCAACGCAATTTAGTCGCGGCGTCGCAAAGTTGTTCACGCGAGAGTTCTGGAAGTAGGAATTAACCAATTAAATTAATAGTCCCGTCCCTACCATTTCCTCCCCGTCCATTAGAAAATCAATAAATATAAGATAATAAATGAACGGACAATGTAATTATGCATGAATCAATTACAAAAACAGACAACAGACATAGAAATATATTGACCGAGTGCAGTCACACATTTATTTTTTATTACATATTTTCTTTTTTTTAAATTTATGTCTGCTGTAAAACGTTTGTGTGTTGGTTGTATTTTGATGTTTTTCCAACACATCTCGTTGAAGAAATTTGTATGGAAACATGTCAAATACTTTCCAAAATCAGACATTGTCAAAGTGGCAGTGGTGTTATTAAACCAAGAAAAAAAATCTAAGTGCCATCAAGACTTTTCATGTTGTGTACTTTTCTATACTTAAGATGTTGGCGTTAAAATATTCCATCCAATTTTGTGCCTTTGAATGCAACTTAATACTTGACTTCATATTTGGCCTAAAGTGACAACAAAGCAACTTGAAATGACGCATTCAGGAACTGCCATGAAATAACAGAACTAAAGAATATTTGCGCAACCCTGGAAAGAAAACAACTGTTACAATCAAGTCAAAATCTTACATGATTTTTAAAAATGTAATGTGAGAAAAAGTTCTTTCCAAGAAAAACGTTGGAATTTTTCCAGTAACAGCACAACTTATTCTCGGAAAAAAATTGAACCATTTTATCCTTTGTACCATCGCGCCTTTTTTTCTTTGTAACTTTGACTTCTTAATCAAAAGATACAGCTATGCTCTTGTAATATTACAATGTATCATGCAATTTTATCCACGTACCGTTGCGCCCTGTTAAAAAAAATGATTCTTCTCATCATAGGACTTTACTCTGAATAGTCATTGCATAGGCCTTGAGTCTGTAACAACGCAATTCATTCAATCGTACTTCATTGCCTAATGTCTTCTGTCTTGCTCAAAACGACTTAATGTCTTCACTTTGCAACTTTTTCCTTGGAAAAAAAAAAAATCCTGTCACTTTTTACAGCGAATATAAAAACTTTACGCACCCTTATTCAAATGCCCCAAAATCTTTTTGAGAAGGGAAGTGAAACCCGACAATGGCGATAATGTGCTTGCACACCCTTTCATGATTGAGATGTGGAAGTTAGGCCAATCACATTCAAACGCTTGTTCAATGGCAGTCGAAACACGGCTGACGACGACACCATTTAAAGTGCCTCCGATGAATGGAGTGGATAAAGTTTAGAAACCATTTGTCTTGGTGTATCACAAAAACCTGGCATTTGAACAGCGGTTGGCGGACTTTTTATACCCACTGCGTATTTCACAATGATATTGCTCGTTTGTACACTTTGTTTCGTGTTGTGACCACCTGTAGTGTTTTATTCCCAAAATCTACAAACTGATTTTGCGTCGCGTGGCGAAGACAAACAAGCATCATTTCAGTGTTTGTGGAGAAACTGCGTTTGCAAAAATACGACTGAGGTCACGGTGGCGGCATATTTTGGTTTTGAACTTTGATGACGGGGAGAAAAACGGAAAATGAAAAAACGGGGGAAACAAAATGTCGGTGTGCAACATCAGGCAAAGACTTCCAACAGAAGATGTCTTGATACGAAACTGTACAGCGTCCTTTAGGTGGGTGTTTAAAAAAAACAAACAAAAAAAACAAATTCAAGGTGTCTTCTTCCGCTTTGAGCAGCACTACCTGTGGACGGGGGGCAGGTGGAGGCCGTTGAGCTGGCGCGGGGGCAGCGTGGGGGAGGAGGAGGAGGCAGCGGGTGGCGCAGGTCGCAGCTCCAGCTGGGCCAACAGGGAGAAGTGGTCCGAGGGCACGTGGGGGTGCGGGCAGCCCGTCAGGTTGTTGTCGGAAAGCCAGTTGGCGTCCAGCGGGCCCAGCACGCCCAGCGCGCTCATGTGCGTGCGCGAGAAGAAGATGTAGTCGATCACGCCCTAGTCAGGGGGGGAACATAGCCCAAAAAAATAAACACCATGCAAATTAATGAAAATAAATGACTTTGATTTGTGTGAACATTTTGTTGTTCATGTATACTAAATAATATAGAAATATAACAACAATTAAAAGATGTACATTTAACTCATTCAAAATACAAATGAAAAAAAGAATGAAATCAGTATGAATTCATGATCTAAAATCTATTAAGTTTTCCATGATTGCGATGATAGATCATTGCTACCGCGACAATGACTCTGGCATTTATGATGAAAACTAAAATATCAAGGCCATTTTCAAACGGAGCGGTTTCACACGAGTGAAAGAATAAGTTCATAACTTCACCAGAAAAAATTCAAAAACAATTTAAAAAACGTTTTCAAAGAACGATCTGGACAACACTACGCTTTTCAAATGTGAATTATCAATTTAGCCTCTTATTATGATCAATATCGGCAATCACAAATCATCACGAGTGTAAAACTGAAGCAGTGTTCATCACATAATTTAAAATTGAAAAAAAATTCCAAAATACAATCAATTTAAAACCTTGAATAAAGTTGTACCAAATCGTCATTTTATGTCTTCGCTATTTTAATCGCCATCATCATTTTAGTTACCTAATTATAGTTTTATTAAAATAAGTAAATAACATATAAAATGAATCAATAAGTTCATGAAAAGTATCCCAAACGTAACTTTTAAAACGTACTCTAAATCTAAAGCAAAAACGTGTGTCCTATTTTCATGGAAGTGGCAAACGTTAACGTGTCCGAAAGACGTCCCAACCTTGAAGTCGTACGTGTAGTTGGTGTAAGGCATGACGTGGCTGTCGTAGGCGCTCTTGAGCTGGAAACTGTGCGTGACGCTGCCGCCGGCGCCGGCACCGGCACTGCCGCCGTTGCCGGCGCCGCCGCCGTTGCTGCAACTGAAGTTGCTGAGGCAGTCGTTGTAGCGCAGCTCCTTGAAATCTTTGTGGTTGTCGGCCACGCCGCCGTTGCTCAGGTACTCCACCACGCCTGCGCCGCCCAAACAGCAAATCAGCACCTTGCCACCCACAGTTGAGCGCGCAAATTGCCCCACCGCACGCACAAGTGAACCCTGCATTTCAATCATCTTTCTTTAATTTCGGAGTTACTCATTTCTCCAATATTACGCTTGTTCTGGAAATTTCCCAATTTTTTCATATCCTGATTTTTAAAAATGCCTTTGCGCATGAACCAGCATTTTTCTTAAAAACAATTTTCGCAATTTCATGACCAATCTGCTGCGATAAGAGTTTTGATATCTATTTTTTTTTTTACCACTTTTTTCCCCAAAGTGTATCCTAGCAGTTTAACAAAAAAACATTTTTCTTTTTTTTTTCTTTTTTAAATTACCATAACTTTATATTAATTTGAATACTGTATTACTACGAGATTCTTATAGCTTTACAGTTTTTGGAATATCAAGAATTTATTTTCTTATAAAATTGCAACTTTATCTCGGGATACTTTCGGAGAAACGTGCACTTGTTTCTTTCTTGAATCATTTTTTTTTTCTAAAAAGAAAAAAAAAAGTTTCTTGACATATGTTTTGCGCTTTTTGCTTCCATTCATCCTGAAAAGCTTCCAATCTAATTGTGGCATCTTGACAACTTGTTTCCAAAAGCGTGGCTTTATCTCTCATAAATGAGGATGGTTTTTTTTGAGGGGGGGAATATTCTGACTTGATCATGTAAACATGACA